ACATAATATTTAGACTCAGACACTTCTAATGTTCCTGTTATTTCTATGATATGTTTAATTTTTAGCCTATTTATGGCTTTTGTACTTGAATATACGCCCCTTGGAGTTCATAAAAAGCTAAACGGCTAATAAATGTAAATTCGAGTGTAACTCTACGGTATATCTTTAATTTCCGTAACATGTCATTAAATAATGAGAAAACTGGCCAGGCTTGGCTATAAAAATGCATTTTTTTTTATTTGTTTGACTAAATTACCTTAAAGTCATGGCAGAAGCAGTACCTATTAAAGGGAATTTATTGTACAAAATAAGTAAAGCCATTTAAAACTGACCCTGATACTGAGTGAATACAATGCAATGAGCAAACACAAGTGCATGTGTGGGACAATAATGAGTTAAATTGTCTCAAATGTTGTGGGCTGCTCAAAAGAAAAGTGTTTAGATATTTAATGATTTACAGATCAGCAGTTTGTTGCACTTGAAAAAATTAATTTCATGCAAAGGTCTTTAAAAAAAATCAGGCTTCAGGAACGGAAACGCACATTTAGTCACAAAAGTAGACCAAAGTATCTGTGCAGTCAGCAGATACTTACAGATTCATGACACGCTTTCCTTCCTGAACGCTCATAGGCCTCAGAGCAGCTTACAGCTCATGTTTTCTCATTACGTTGATTTAGTGACAGTCTGAGATTTTTTAAGCGTTTACCTGTCATTTATTATTATTATTATTTTTAATTCAGTTCTTGATTGTGATTTAAAATGTATACACACATATTTATCTTTCCAAAATAGCAGGAGTGCACACATTCAATGGGAACTCTGGATGAATTTAAAATACTACAGATGCACCAATATGACTGGTTTGTCATATTGTCACATATTTACAGTAGATTCAGCAGATTGCGAGATGCACATCTTGTGTCTGCAGGAGCTGGTTGGCCCACCTCATTTTTTTTTCTTTTCTTTTTTTTTTTATCTCTACTCTCTGTTTATAAACATGGAAAGAACAAGATGGTTGACAAATCTGGACAGTGGATCAGTGACGGAGCAGGGGCCCACTGGAGGCTGATGTAGTAAACATGTTGTCCACAAGGGGGCGCTGTTAGACCATAAACCTGTTCAAGAGCAAAAGGCCGTGTATTGTGGAGGACACAACCTAAAGGGAAGTGTAAAAATACAGGTATTAATAACTAAAAATGAAACAAATCAACACGTGACAAATATTTTTACACAAATTAGACAGTACAGGAACTTTTTAAATCACCCACTGCTGTTACATTTGGGAGGGCAATGGTATGGCTTTGTCTGTTAAATATATATAAATTCAATGTTTAATTTCTTTTTGAGTTTTTCCTCATAAAATAAAAATCATGAACTACTGGACAGATTTAAATAAATCTCTCACAAAGTAATCACTGGATGTAAAAATCTTTGCCTTCCAAGCTCTAAGAGATATTTGCTTAAAACTGGCATTACCTGCTGGAGTCAACCTTCTTTCTGTTAGCAAAATACAGAATAAACTATACTAGCCATACTTTAATAAAATTCTCATAAAAAAGTAATTGGACTTCTGAAATGAACTTTATTTAATATGGCTGTCACAACCATTTAACCTTAGCAAACATAAAAATTGCTATAATGCAGTCAGTTGTTCAGATGTTGATCTAAAATTTGGTGTGATAGTAGCCAAAGTGTTCACAGCACTCACTCTGAGCGCTAACGTCTTTGTTTGTTGGCAGCATCACACTTTTATTCAAAAAGGATTTTGATTTWGGTACAGGAAATGATTTTCAGTAAGGTTGTGCTGAAATGAGTGACATCAAAGGACATTTGAAAGTTGTGTGTTTTATCATCAGTAAAATGATGTGTTTGAAACTGTATTTTTAAAATATTTAAAGTTATGGCAAAGGTTTAGGGATAAAACATGACTTTATTAAAACAAGGCAGGTCATCTTAGCTCACATGGAGCCCAAATTTAACGGATTGTTTGTTTTAGAGAAGTATTTTTTTTTACATATTTCAATGCCTGAATTATTGAACATTTGATCTTTAAAAACAAAACAATTTCTCCATGMTGTTGACAGCTTTTTATAATAAAAAAATTTAAATCCTAGCCTGTGCAAATTAAAGTTTTTACTTTATTTTTAACCTAGGTGCACTTAGATTCTGAACAATGTCACAATTTTGCTTAATTCTTATTCCTGAAAACTTGTTCAAAAGTTTCTTAAATAATTGCAATGTCATTTCTAATGGTGTGTTAGTTTAGCTGTGTGATGAACATTTTAGACATTCTAAAAACATCTCTGTACTCCTTTCAAAATACTCTCCCTTTTTCACATATATTTCGAATAAAACTAATAAATCACCTGCAATAATGAACGCAGACTGAAGAAAATACATTTTTTTATTGTTAACTCAGGTTTCTGAATCAAGTGCTACAGAGGGGTACAGAGCTGTGCTGCCTGAATCAAAACAAAACAAATTAAAACAAAACGGGTACTTTCTTTTTATACATTGAAGATACAGTATATTAACAACAAAAACAAGAACAATTCAGTTTATTGTCTCCTTTTTCTTTCAGCTGGAGGACTCAGAGCGAGGCACCAGCTTCAGTTTGATGGGCCGTTTTGGCTGAAGCAGACCCTGGATGTCCATCTCGAAGGGGATCTGTCAGGAAACGATATGCAAGACAAACAAACTAAGTCAACAGCGAACAAAAACCAACAAGCCTTTGGCCTAACAAGAACAGAGACATCATAAACCCAACACGTGGCTTTTTATCTATGCTATATTTCATAAAGTGAAGTATTATCACATCAAGATCATATTGCACTTCTGTCCAAAGTCCATTGTCAGATAATGGGGCTTGGATCTTTAGACTTGCAGAGATAAATCTCCTGATGTTAACGTTCTAAATCATCATGTCTGAGCAGTCTGTGTAACAGTGCAAACTCTCACCTCGGTCTCCTTGCACACAGAGAAGCTGTACCGCTGCAGGATCTCCACCACTGCAAGCTTCATCATCACCAGAGCAAATCGCATCCCGATGCAGTTTCTGGGCCCCGCTCCAAAAGGCATGTACAAGTACGGGTCGATTTTGTCCTTGTTTTCCTTGCTGAACCTGATGGCACAAACACAACGTTATCCACAAACAGAYGTGGAAATACGAGCTGTGGGTTTATTCTCCTGGGGGTCCTTCTTTCTGTACCTCTCAGGTTTAAATTCCTCCGGCTCGGGCCACACTTCGGGGTCCCGGTGCATGGGCCAGGTGGGGATCATGACAACCATGTTCTTTGGAATCACCAGGCCGTTGATCTCCACAGTTGCCTTGGCCACACGCTCCAGGCGCGAGGCGATGGGGAAGAGTCGGAGCGACTCGTTGATGACGCTGTCGAGGTACTCCATCTCCATCAGAGCCTGGTACTGAACAGGAGCCTGTACAAACACAAACACACCTGCCTTCTGTATGCATCCGCCTCATGGGTCCCACAACCAACAAACGCAGATATGGGGTGCCCTAGGGTACCCTAGCTAAACATTTAAGTTAAATATTTAGGTAGCTAGCTAAATATTTAAGTTGAAACCTAAATATTTAGATAGCTAGCTAAATATTTAACTTGCAACCTAAATATTTAGCTAGCTACCTAAATATTTAACTTAAATATTTAGGTTGCTAAACATTTAAGTCACAAGTTAAATATTTAGCTTGTTAACTAAATATTTAATTTGTAAGTTAAATATTTAGTTTMTAAAYTATGACATTTATAAATGTATGAATAATAYGGTGAAAAACTGACTTTGAAATATAAATCTGTTCTTTTTTTTCTTATAAAAGGCTAAATAAAACAAAAATATTGGTGGTAATTTTTGACTGTGTAACTTTACAAACAGCACCCCATAGATTTGTGTTTCTTGTTTAGGTTCGTATTTTCTCCCTTTAACCATACCTTGTTTGGGAAAGTGGCATCAATCTCCTTCTGGAGTTTTTTCATGACCTCTGGGTTCGTTGCCAGGTTGAAAGCCAAGAAAGTGAGCGAGCTGCTGGTTGTCTCGTAGCCAGCAAAAAGGAAAATCATGGACTGGGAGAGGATCTCGTGATCGCTCAAACCTGTGAGGACAAAAAAGGATGGTTTGTAACAACTTTAATTTGTGTGTCTGTGTGCGGCTGGGTGTGTGCATCACCTTTGTCCTGCTGCGTTCCACTGACGGCACTGTTTTTCTGAGAATCAATCATCAGCTGGAGGAAATCTACTCGACCCTAAAAAGCAACGAAGATGAAGTCAGATCTTTTTTTTTTTCCTGAATCTGCTGGTGCAAAGAAGTGACTCGGCAAAGACTGGACTCCAGCTTTACCTGCTGCTCGGTTTTCTCACGACTGGACTTGATCTTTCGCAGAGAGGCATAAAAGAAGTCTGTCACTGATTTGGGGAAGAAGGAAAACTCGAACTTTTCGAGTATGGGACCGGTGAAGGGGAAGAAGGCTGAAATGAAACAATCAGCACATTTATGACTGACAGACCATTATGTTTTTACTACATCAAAAATGCAGAAAAGCATGAGTCTGAAAACACTTTGCTAACTTTGTGAAAATCAAACATTCAATGTGCAACAGAGCTGCCTTTAAAGAGTTAAAACATTCTGATAGTCGGGTTATTGTTTCTGAGACTTTCAGACATGCAGCACTTGGCTTTTAAAACAGGATTTTACCAACTGCGAGGAAGAGAGGGCTCAACAGGTCGAACTTCAGCATCTTTTTGATGTTTGTGACAAAAGGATCCGAGGGGTTGTTGAGTGAGTCAATGTCCACACTGAAGGCTGTGCTGGTTACTATGTCCATACTGTACGGGCCAAAGAACCTGCAGGTTCACACAGACGTGTTTAGAATACCATAGCAAGGTTTAAAAGTGGCAACATTTATACATCGTTTTAAATTTCTCTTACTCCTTTAGCTCCAGCGGCTCATCCTTGTCTACCTTCTTCTTCATGCTGCTGACCAGGTTAGCAGAATGACGTTTCATTATGTCAAACATCTGGAGCAACAACAACAATAAATCAAAATGAGAGGATCTAAAACGAGAGTGTTTGAAAGCAGCACAGTGAGGAGGGGGGGCGCTCACCTCTTTCAGTCTCCCTGAGGTGAAGGATGGAGAAAGGACACTGCGGATCCTCCTCCACTGATCATCCTCTGCTATCGACACGGCGTCGTACAGAGGCCCGTTCAGACGGAAGTTCTGCAACAGAAAAACAAACAGTGAGCTCAAACAGAAGCCATAAATCAGTGAGACAGAAGGAGCTTTGCACTGAGGTGACTGCGTACCCTGCGGTTGGTGAATAGAGAGTAGCACTCCTTAATGAGAACAGCTTTTGCTATGGTGGGATCGGCAACACACAGCACGGGCTGCCGGCCATCATAAATCCTGAGGAACACGAGAACGAAACCAACAACAGGGGCAACAAGAATAAATAAGTCAAGAACCGTCTTTATAGAGGAAGTAAATAATCTACTCGACATATTCATTTGACAGAAACAGAAAAAAAAGAGAAAAAACTGAAGTGGAAAACAGTCAAACTTACCCCCATATTTTGCCGTATTTCTTATAGCATTCTGCATCAAAGTTAAAGAACCCCTGGGGAAGAGAATCAAAATGGATACATAAAACACAGGTTATGGAGATAAACATCCTGAAGCTTGTTCTGTTTTTGAGAAGATTGAAATTCTAAATGTTAATTTGTGAATGTTGAGTCACATTTTTTATGTTTTCATACACTTTTTTGTAAGATTCTGCACACTTCGTGATCTTTAAAACGTTTTGCTTGTTCAGGTGATAATGATGTGACTTTTGGGTTTTGTGACTGTTTTTCTCCCGTAGAAATACAATAAAATCTCTTGATTCATACAATCACACAGAACAAATCAAACTGATGACATTTGTGGAAATCAGAGTTGAATAAGTTGTGCTGTACAATTAAAAAAATAACAATTTGCTTGAAATGCTATTTAGGCTTTCAATAAAATAAAACTTTTTTTATATTAATCAGCCTGTTGTGCCACAGTTTTATGAGTTTTCAAGCAATTTGGTTCTTAATAAAAGTCAAACTACAGTACACCCAGGTAGATTAGATTAGATTAGATTAGATTAGATTAGATTAGATTAGATTAGATTAGATTAGATTAGATTAGATTAGATTAGATTAGATTAGATTAGGACTTTATAGATTCATTGGGAAGGTTTCTTTAGGAAAATCAAAAACAGAATTGATAAGTTCACTCATTAATAGTATTGATAATACTAACAACAAATGACAATAAATAAATCATTCAGCTCGACATGTTCTTGCTCATCTTCACCTTGTTATAAAAGAATAACCCTTYTGTAACTTTTATGAGAAAAACACATTTTAGTATCACATGGTGTACTGTAGGTAAGCTTAAAAAATAACATGTACAGTACTGACCTTTCGATAATGCAGCAAAGTGCCGAAAAAGGGAAGAGGTTTGGGACCAGGGATACCTAACTTTTTAAATGTCCCATAAGGCCAGTAGGCATACCTGAAAAAAATTAAAATAAAAAATGTGAATAAAAAAAAACTAAACAGAATAAATGTGGATGATTTTACATCAAATACTATAAAACATAAAAAAAAAGCACTTACACAAGGAGAAGAGTGACAAGAGCAACCAGCAGTGTCCACGTTTCAGCAGAAAAGTAGAAGAAGTTGGCCATCTCTGCTGGTTTCCTCTCCTCGGAGGTGTTTTCAGCCTCTCTGAAGCCCTACAGTCCAGCTGGAAGCTTTTATCTGCAGCGTACAGACCTGTTACGTGAGAGGAGGAAGTGTGTGAGAGTTGAGCCTTTGGCAGCTGGGAGTGTCCAGRGAATATTTGTTAAAGAGAGACTGAGCAACATTTATGAGTTTGCAGTCAGCTAAATTAGATCTGTTATCTGTAGTATAAGCTCAATTATTCTATACCTTATACAGAGAATTTTATTCTTATTAAAAACAACAGAGTTTCAGGTTTAAAACCAGCTTTTACTGAAGATATAACTCAGTATTTAATCAACTTTTTATAGCACATATTGTACAGCACTCTACAAAGACTTGTCCAGACATGTTCTTACAAAACTGGGAGAAACCTGCCTGTATCATTTTTCTCATGTACGCTTACAGRAAGAGGACAAAGGGTTACGGTTTATATAACAGTTTTTAAAAAAAACACACCTCCTGCCTTTACAGCTGAGCAGAAAGGACAAAGCTCACTGCTCACTGAAAAAAACAAAAAAACAAACTTGCTTTGTATTTTACCCCATTTTCTGACCGAGCGGGTTATGATTTCCAAGTACAATAACTTTGGTACTGTTGTTTTTGTTCTGGGTCAGTTCTGTTAACCAGTTTGACCAGTTGTAGATGCTTGAACAGATGTTGCAATAGTGTAGTCATCCAACTGATGAGAAATACAGTATGTCAGACTGATTTCATCAGATGATACTCGGGGATTTTGCCTAAAAAAAAAAACAGAACCACTTCCACACAAAGTTTTGTTTTTTCTCTCTGAATGTTCACTATCCTTTGTTTCCCTCTCTTCACATGTTCACTTGTATGGACAGAAGCACTAGTAGCCAAAGGTGGGGACCATGATGCTTTGACCCCAGCCCTCATCTTGTCTTCTGATCTGCTGCCCTTCGCTTCCGGCACTCGGGGTGAAGAAAGGAAGTGACCTGTCAACTGGTCATCACCTGGTGAAGACCAGACAGACCTGGACGTGCTATGAAGGCCTGGTGGAAGAACCTGACAGAAGAACCTTCAGCTCCCTCCTCTAACAGAGCATCAACTGTATCCCAGTGGAGACAGGGGACACGGTCAGGGGTGGACTCCAGTTTAGCTATACACCAGTACTGATACAGAGTACATCCTGAGTTATAGAGCTTAAACATAACACCACAACTTTAAAAACACATTTCTTTTATTTAGAACAAGGTGGCTCTCCTTCCTTATAGGCCTACAGTCCCTGTGACTGGATCAAATCAAATATTGCATGAGACATACTCAGAGCCGGCTCTTGGCATAGGCGAACTAGGCGGTCGCCTAGAACGCCATCTGCTGGAGGGGGTGCCGAACTGCAG